TTGAACCACATTACTTACAAGGTAACTATTTGAATGACTTTCAGATACTTGGTCTTCAAATACACTGAGATAGAATGTGAGAGAATGAGGTTAAAGGTACCATGGCTAGTGCAATGACTGGGTTCTCATCCGATTTTGACTAGTTTTTGAACTTGCCTTCTAACCACCATGAGGTTCAACTTCTTTATTTGAAAAATGACCAAATTTCACTAAATGATTTATTTGTTCCATAGTAGCTTCAAATACGAAACACTCATCAGAAACGGTGTTATTGTTCAGAAAGTAAAATCTCTAGCAGTGTTATGAGTTCTCACCATTTCCATTCTGAGACGGCTTCAAAGATTGGATAAGCAATTATTAAAATCCAGTGTCAATGAACATTTTGTGTAGTACAGTCTTAGTGCAAAATTACTTTCATATAATTGTAAAGTTCTTATTTTGGGGATTCAGCCACTTCTCTCATTTCATACAATCTTAATGTCTTGTAATAAGTATAAATTACATTCCATCATTTTCATACTCCTCAAATTCTTCATAGTACTCATTATCATGCCATTGCTGTTAGTCACTGTCTTACATAATTCTTATCAATTTCTATGACTTTAACTGTTCTCTGTATTCAGTTTCTTAACAAATTCTTAGGTGATTGCAGAGTGCCAGGAATTGGCCTTAGTGCAGTCATCATAAATGAGGATTATCCCCAAGTCATAAAATTCATTTTGATTTCCCATAAAAAGTAATGTTTATAATTACGGGGTGACTCATCTGCTGTATACTCATAATCTAACATAGTCTAAGCATATTGTATAGCACATAACAATCAGCAAATATGGATTAAGTGATCATTGCTTTTTCCTTCTAAGTAAAGTCTTCTGACTTCCTGTTAATAGTATACAAATGGTCTCCTACAACTAGGTTTGTTTTTGTGTTAATAATAGAAACAGCAAAAATATGACAAAAATGACAAAAAATAATGCAACACAGCAATAGTATTAAGGTTTAACAAACTTTACAGGTTTTCTAAACGTTGGATTTGAGCTTCATAACATCTTACTTAGAGGGAACTCTGCTGGTCAACCACAGTCTCGGAAAGCAGCGTATTCTTAGGTTTTGGAGAGAATCAGAGGGCCAGCAAGCTAAGAAAATTTCAAATTGGGAATAGGATGATGATAGCTTTAGAAGCATGGTATTTCAGGTGAGACGATATTTAATTAGTTTGAATTCAGAATTATGTTCATTGAAGTGAATCCACTCTGGCAAACTTTCAGAAGGGAGCATTTGCTGCTGGTTGGCTGGAGGAAGCATGATAACAATCATGGAGGCAACTAATTGTTAAATTAATAAATAGGTTACATTGAAACTTGTTGGTGTCTACTTGTTACCATGACTGCAGAATGATCAGCTTCCTCCTTCATCCTCTACCTTCTTTGTTTCATTCTTAGTTTATTAATCTTTATATCCTCAGGCTGTAGCACATAACTTTGTATATAGGCATTTCCAAAAACTGTGGAGTAAATGATTTGAAAACTGAATGAAGTCATTTTGGATCTCTCTTAGAATTTTTGTCATACGTTGCCTTGTTTTCATTTCCCCCATATGCAGTTCTACCTTAGTTCTTGAGCACTTTTTATCTGGATTATGGTCCTAATCTCTTATTTCTCTCAAGTTTTTCTCCAGCAATCCATTCTGTACTTAAAGAATTTACTTGAATAAAATTTTGATGATGTCACCCTCTTGTCGAAAAGTGTTTACTCTCCAACCTATTGAATGAAGGCCGAATTTTCTAGTTTGTTGTTGATATTCCCTCAGTTTTCTACGTACCATCTACCAGTTTCATCTTAGTTTTCACTACTGTCCTCTCACTGGTTAAGATACACAAAGCCACTGTTCCCAAGACATGGCTAATGTGTCCCTACCTCTGCGTCTTTACCTGAGATACTCCCACTGCCCGGAATACTCTTGCCCATTCCCTCATTTCCGGCTATTGAAATCCTATGCATAATTAATTCAGTTTCCTATTCAAAGAGAATTGCTTGATCCTCTAATAGTATATGATTTTTAAAATCTGAACATGTTAAAGAACTGGTTGTGCCAATTAGAGGAACACATTTTAAATTCTGTTCAGCAATGCAATTACTTTGTACTTTTATTATTTATTTTCTTATTCCAAATTGGAAGCAGAATTCATGAATTTTCTCTTTTAAATCTCCTGGATAATCCATTAAAATATTTTGAATATAATAGATTTCTTGAAAATGTCTGTTGACGAAATTCAAAATATTTTAGACCTAAATTCCTTTCTTAAAAAAATACTGATTTCTACCTCCTGGCAGTTTTGAATTCCACATAATCTCAGAAGTGTGATAGTAATAGTTTGGGGCAAAATGTCAATAGTTTGGTTAAACAAGTACATATTTTTTGTAATGACTGAAAAAAATAATTGCATTCAGTCCACATGTTTTATGTAAATAAAATTTATTACAATGTTTGACATTTCTTGGGGCAATAAAAATGCTTGGCCAATTTTGCACCATTTTTTACTTTTTATCATGGCATATGTTTGAGGCCAAACATACATGCATATGCCTATAACACAGCAGTGAATAGGCACAGGGTCAACCCTTTTTAATTTGTTTTCTCACATCATGGTTTTATTTAATATACTAAAAATGAAAGAGCTCTAAGTTATGTTAATCACAGGTAAAGCTGACTAGTTACTAGTGAGAAGGAAGAAAATTTTCTAGAATTTCAAGATATGGTGAAGTATAGTATTCACCATATAAGAAACAATTGGTCAAATATTTTGAAAAACAATTACCGAATGAATTGGAGATTTGTAGGCTTCAGGATTCCAAAGCTAAGTTAGTAAGATTATTAAGGAAGGCAGTGTTCATGCACAAAATATTATTTACTTCTTCTTTAGAAAGTACTTGTAAAAATTACTTTGACCATTTGTTGGCTAATTAAAGTATAACAAGTTGAGCATATGTGTTGTATAACTTTGTACCTCTCAGCCTTGTGCATTGAAATGTCCAATAAATATCATTTGAATAAATGAATAAAACAATAAAATGGGAGATGATGTAACAGTCTGCTTATAAGTAATGTTTTTGGCCCTTATTCACAACGTAGCAGGCTAGCAGTTTCAGCATCGCTTGGGAGATTATTGGAAATGCAGAGCTACAGGCTTTCCGCTGATCTGTTGAATCGGATTCTGTAGTTTTAAAAGATCCCCAGGTGATTCATATGTACATTAAAAATTGAGAAGCACTGTATTATTCTATGGATAGAAGTGGACCAAGGAACATTAATTTTTCCCTCTCCTGTAACTTTTTAAAAATAGTTGTTCTGATTAATCATGGTTCTGATACTTGTAAAAGAATTGATGAAGTCACTTGTTCAACCTCCCTTTGTGCTAATGGACTTGAGACTTTACTCTTGGCTTTTTCACTTATAATCAGAACACCTGATCAGAATACACAAATTGAATACAGATCTCTTACTAGTAGTTAAGATAAATGTATGGCAAGGAAAATGCATTGCCACATTGCCTTGACCTCCTGCCAGGATTTATGTTTATCTTTTATCTTTGATTTTTATATTGATTAATTATTAAAAAACTAAAATTGCATACATTTATCATGTATAACATGTTTTGAAATATGTATACATTCCGGAATGGCTAAATTGAACTAATTAATACATGTATTACTTCATATGCTTATCATGTTTCATGGTGAGTACACTTTATTCTCACAGCAATTTTTAGGAATACAATACATTATTATTAATTAGGTTGTACAATAGATCTCTTGAACTTATTTTTCCTATCTAACTGAAATGTGACTTTGACCAACATCTTCCCAATCCCTACCCCACAGCCCCTCGTAAACACCATTCTACTGTCTACTTTTATGAATTCAACTTTTTAGATTCCATGTGTAAGTGAGATCATGTGGTACTTGTCTTTCTGTGCCTGGTTTATTTCACTTAATAGCCTCCAGATTTACAAATGTTGCCTCAATGACAAAATTTCCTTCTTTTTAAAGGATGAAAAAGGATGACAATGAAATGCTATCTAAATAGCATTTCATTGTCAGAACTTACGTTTTAACACTTTCTAGTATTAATGACACACTTCACATAAAGGATTACTTTACATTTTGGTTCACTGGAATGAGTGCAGTAACTAAATTGTAATGCCAAGTAGCAAATGAATCTTTTGAAGGAGCTGCCACTTTATATGTGTTATTACAAATTATTACTGACTTTAAATGCTGGGTTTCATTCACCCTCTGAATGTGGCAAAGGACGTGAAGTCAGATCAACTTCATGTGTAGGACTTTTGCATTTATCTCTAATGTCTGGGAAGGGAAACGACATTCTACTTTATCAGATGGGCCATAATATAAACAAATATTTTTAATATACAAGGAATATTAAAAATCATTATACGGTATTTTTCTGTTTATATTGTGGATACATGACTCATTTCAGCACAGAGACGTATTTAGCTGTCTGCATACTTTAATATCAGCAGCATTCAATTAAAAAGGTATAAGGTTTCTTTACTGAGAACTAAAGCATTAAGCCATTTTATGTAATTGTTTAATTACCACTGCACCATTTGAATTTACATGTTAATATAACTTTCCATGGAAAGAAAAATGTAATCTTTTATTTTTGTTTCTTGCCTAATGAAAGCTACTCTGTTAGATGGGCTAGTCTGGCAATTTGACTTAGGAAAAAGTAATATAGAATAAAGTTTTCATATGAACAAGGAAAAGAAACTAACTTTACTGCTCATCTCATTGGTCTGCCAAATTGGAAAGACATTTTAGGCCTGATTATCATGTTCTAATTAGTCTCTGGAGGACATTCATGGCCAACTAAGTGTTCATTAATCTATCATCTTCCTGTAACATTGATTTGTTCATTATCCTTTTAGAGTCTCAAATATAGAAACCAAGAATTGATGTGTAGTGTTAATGTGCTTACAGATGTTGCTACCACCTATCCAGATAAGAAGTCCATCTTAATGTACATCACATCACTCTTCCAAGTTTTGCCTCAACAAGTGAGCATTGAAGCCATCCAGGAAGTGGAAATGTTGCCAAGGCCACCTAAAGTGACTAAAGAAGAACATTTTCAATTACATCATCAAATGCACTATTCTCAACAGGTAAAGTGTCCAAAGGACAGGTAATATTCAAGATGTTTTCTATTTTATATGCATTTTTAGGTATTATGTGCACATATATATAAAACGAATATATATGTATATATACATGTATATATACAAAGCCTAATGTATGTATATATACAGAAAGACTATGTAAACCTTTTCAGTTTTGCTTCATTGACTACAATATTCTTTTCAAACGTATTTAAAAAATACTATTGATATGTACCATATCGTAGGAATATAGAACATAATATATTACATTTCCATTGTGTAACACACAATGAAATGAAAGGCAAACTTACATACGTATTAAACTCTAAAATCTTCATCAACTAGATTAAAGGGAAATATTGTTTTTAATCATTAAAAATACTTTATGGCAATATGATGTACAAGATCAGATTTTGATTATTCAGGATAACTTTGAAAACAGAAAAGTGGTTTAAAATATTTCAAATAAACATTAAAGAAAAACATGATGAAATTCTTCATTATATAACTGTATAGAATTCACTGGGGTTCTTCCTTGACATTGGCTTGTTCTTTCTCTCAACCGTGGGTAGTTTGGATGTTTTCCTGTGCTTTCTCAGGCACAAGCAATCGTGAAGAAACCTTTAGCAACATTTCTGTTGGAATGTGTGGAAAGCTTTTAGGCCAAACTCTCTCACTTTACTGAGCTAGCTCTATACTAGCTTTTGAAATCTTTAGTCCTTTGCAGGGTATGGACCTGATGAATTCTGGTTTTAGTTACTTTGGATTTAGAGAAAATTGCTTTTGGATGCCTGTTTTTGCCAGATTGAAGAGTACCATCCCATATAAATATTGGAGTTGTATTACTATGGAATCCTCATGGTTAAATAGCATGCTCATATCTTCCCAGATCATTTATTCTCCAACATGACATTGAGTGCCATAATTCTGGGAGTATACCAATTTCTAATATCATTTATATATGTTTAGTATTAAACATTAAATCTCACCGTTTCCATTTAATGTTCTGTTTTCTACCATGTTGGAAAGTAGTCCTTTTGGGTTACTTATGGTTTTTCCTCCTCCTCTCTATCCACTCCCCCAAACCCTTCTCTGCAGATCACAGTCAGTCTAGCACAGGGCTATGAGAGAACTTCTTCCCCTAAGCCTCGATTCAAGAGCTATGCCTACACACAGGCTGCTTATGTCACCACCTCTGACCCTACACGGAGCCCATTTCCTTCACAGGTCTGTCAACATTTATTCTCTGTTGTACAAACCAGAGAACTGCTTCCAAGATAATCTAACACTGCTTTTACTTGCTTGAATTTTTCAGTGCTTTTTATCTCCCCGTGAAGAGCTGTTTCATTTTTCCCAGTTTTACTGATTCCCTCATATGATTCTACTTTGTTATTGAGACTTCTCTAGGTTTACTATATGACGATTCTTCATAAATATGAATTCCCATAATAATGATTTCTACTTTCATTATGTAATAACCTCTAAGGTTCTCTTTGACAAAGGCTACTAATGGTTATAAAAAACATGAGGCTCATTAAAAGGTTTATATATGTAACTTCAAAAAGTGTGGGCAAATCTGTGAAAATTGCTAATTACACTATTTGGGGAGATTTTTCTAGATAAAGAAAATACATATACTACAGGTGAATTATTTTTTATATTCATTCCAAAATATATATTCTGTGTAAGAAAAATGCAACTGCAAGCTTCTTCATATGCTCTCCGTTAATTTTGCTAATTTAAACTTGTGTATAGCAGGCTCTGTAGTATTTATAAGAAAAAATCACACTCAAAGCAGGTCATATTCTAGGCAATGTTTCGTACTTTCTATATGAAGAAGCCTCTCAGTGGAGTTTTCCACTCTTGCAATATTGTATGGAATCCAACATACAAGAAATAGCCTTGTAGACGTTACAGCGTGGGAATGAAATGCGCTAAGTTTGCTAGATTTGCAAGAATTACTTTTTAACAAAAATGATTGATTTTGCTCAGCGGAGCCAATTTGAAACGTGCTGGATGATGTGATTTTTATCAAAACTACACTATAAATGAGAGTTTAAAAATGATAGACCTGATCCTATTGGTTAAAAAATGTGTACATTTTTGGAGACTCGATTTTTTTTTAAGATAGTGGCGTGCATTTAATTAGTAATTTATTTGGCAGTTAATTGATGCATTAGCTAAAAATTTGGAACTCTGAAATAGTTACGACCTCCATCCTTGGCTAGTTTACTTGCAAAGCTCTCTTCTCACTCCCTCTCATTCTGGACCTCTTGACTCTCCATCGACTCTCTAAACTCTATTTATACCATTCCCCCCATTGAAATCACCAAGACTTAAGGAATAAGTGCCACCTCCTAAAATTAAGGAGCATACACCAAGCAAAGATAAATGGTTTTTTTTCCCCCCCTCTCATTATCACTTTATTGAGCTGGTTTTTTTTCCCCCCCCTCTCATTATCACTTTATTGAGCTGCCTTTTTCTAGGTTTTCTGCAATGCCTATTCTGGTAGCGCATTTTCACCTCATTACCACCTCATTAAGGCATTGCTCAGGTATGACTCCTTAATGAAGTAATTACAAATGGACTTACATCTTGCTAGACTCTGCTCATTCTACCTTTGTGTAAAAATTACCGAATACATTATGTCATAAATAACAGATAATTCAACAAATTCACTTACCTGTGTTATTTAAAATAAGGCATTCAAATCAGTATAATGTTTATCCTTTGGAAAAGACACAGCACAAATCACAAGAGATGAGGAATGATATATTCTGACTGTTACTAAAGAGCATATCAGAAGATGATGTTAAATGTAGTTAGGTTTGATAAGTGTATGCCTTTATTCACACTAAACATTAATTCCAAAAGTGTCAGAAGGACTGAGCTTACACTGCAGCTATAGGCTGTACCTGCTCTACTTCAAATGAAGTCAAGACAGGCTGGATCTGATGCCATCAGAAAGTTTTATTAATGTGTGGTCTACAGAGAAAAATAAAGTCCTCTATAAGAGAGAGCCATGCGGGTGACTGTCCCCTATGGGAAAAACGTGCATGCCCCCACTCCCCAAACACATCACTCTGCTTTAACTGTTCATTTATTTATTCAACAAATAAGTATTCTTAGTCACAGAGCCAAATGGCTTTTATTCAGCTCTCCTAACTTTCTACCACTGAAGAAACATTTTTCTCAGCCTCTACACTCAGCAGGTTCTTCCTCTCTGACTATTCTGTGTCTTTGATTATCTGGCTCTTTCTGCTCTTCCAACTTCTTTAGCTTGTGAACCTCATGGGAGATGTCTTGGCCTTCTTATCTGTGTACTTGTTCTCTTAACATAATTTAATAATTAATAATTTAATCTCCCGGCCTCAATCTGTATGCAATCTGTATTCAATCTGTATGCAAATGATCATTGTATCTCTGTCTTCACCACTTCCAATCTTTCTTGAGTTATAGCCACATTTCCAATTCATTCTCAACTCTGTGTTGTGTATCTATACCTTGATATCCACTAATATCTCAAATCTAGTATGTCTCCAAGTGAAATTTATTAGAGTTTCTTGTCCATTTTTTTGTTATTCACAGTCCTAATAATATTCACAATTTTTTTCACTTAATTTTGCCCATATAACAAGGCTACTCTCCTAAACTGCCTTAAAAAGATTTATGATATATTAATAATTTATGCTTTTATGCTCATTACACATGTATTTCATGTTTTCTTCAACCAAATTAAGTCACTTGTTATCCTACACAGGTGCCCCAAAATTTTCCACATTAGCTTTTATGCTTCCCTTAGCTCGGAGTGCTTTTGTCTCTGTTTTAAATAGGCCAACTTAATTTATATTTCTGTGCCTAATTAGTAAGTGGCAGAACCTGAATTCAAATTTACATTTATCCAACTCCATGCCCATCCTCATTATACTAGGGTGACACTGCACTTTCTCTACTGTGATTCTTGTATATTGGGTTACTCACACATAGAGCAGTATTCATACATTTGATTATTTAGCACTTGTTTTTTTAATCACCTACTATGTGCCAGGTACTGTTACTGGACCAAGTGACACATAAACAAACGTACAAAACAATCTGTGTCTGAATTTATTCTAATTTTATTATCCTCCGAATCTCTTCCCTCTTGCCATATGTTTTTAACTCATTTAATAAATGGTAGGGCCGTGTGTGGTAGCTGACGCCTGTACTCCCAGCACTTTGGGAAGTCAAGGTGGGTGGATCACCTGAGGTCAGAGTTCGAGACCAACTGAACCAACATGGTAAAACCCCATCTCTACTAAAAATACAAAATTAGCTGGGTGTGGTGGTGCACGCCTGTAATCCCAGCTATTTGGGAGGCTGAGGCAGGAGAATCACTTGAACCTGGAAGGTGGAGTTTGCAGTGAGTTGATATCGTGCCATTGCATTACATCCTGGGCAACAAGAGTGAAACTCTGTCTCAAAAAAATAAATAATAAAAATAAACAAATGGTATGATATGAGCATTTTAATTTTACATGTGAGCTTTTCTGTTTCATGATCTCTAGCACAGCATATCTGGTAGCAGAATTGGAGGCCAATATTTCATCAAAGTCATTTCCCTCCTGATGAAGTAGATGTGACTTAGGAAATAATTAGAGAAACCGAGGATTATTGTGAGGTTTCTTTCTTAAGCAACTGGCCAAATATAGAGTTGCCACAAACCAAGATGGGTGAGACTGTAGAAGGAACAGGTTTGGGAGTGAACATTAGGATGTCAGTTTTAAACATATTAATCTTGAAGTGCCTATAAGGCTATGAATGCATGTAAAGAAAGGGGATCTAAGATCAGAGTTGAGGATAATAATTTAGAAGTCAACACGTTGATAGTATTTAAATCCATTGGCCAGGATAAGATTACCAAGGGAAAATGTATAGACAGATAAGAGGTCTCTAGATGTATATATGATGAGGCATCAGCAAAGGGGCTGAAAAGGGTGGCTGGAAAGGGGAGAGAAAAAGCTGAAAAGAAAGGAAATGATGGATGTGGTATTCTGGAATCCAGAAGAAAGTGTTTTCAGGGAAAGGAAGATGTCTAACTACATTAAATACTGCTGGTTAGTTCAAATAACTTGATGATTGAAAATTATTCAGTGAATTTAGCAAAACGTCAGTAGTGTAAGATGTCTGGGAAATCCTAATATATAGCAGTTACTACAATGGAATTACTATTCACTCTTAAAACTTGGCCATTTAGACCAATAAGTTACGTGCTCACTCTAGCTTATATCCACTTTAATAAGAACAATTTCAATGGTGCGTGCATGTGTGTGTGTTGGGAGGTGTTGCTGATTAGAGTAGGTTCAAACGACAGTAAAAGTGTAAGGCTACCTGCATTGTAACACTTAAAAAAATATACTGAGAGCTGAGTGCAGTGGGTCATGCCTGTAATTCTGGCACTTTGGGAGGCGGAGGCAGGCAGATCACTTGAGGCTAGGAGTTTGAGACCAGCCTGGCCAACATGGCGAAACCCTGTCTCTACTGAAAACACAAAAAGTAACTGGGTGTGGTGGCACACACCTGTAATCCCAGTTACTTGTGAAGCTGAGGCATGAGAATCAGTTGCAGTCAGGAGGCAGAGGTTGCAGTGAGCTGAGATTGGCCGCTGCACTCCAGTCTGGACGACAGGGCAAGACTCTGTCTCAAAACACTACCGTAAATAGTTGATGGCCACAGAAACAAAAACATACTTCTTTTAAATTATCCCATCCTGATAACTACTCATGTGTCTATGTATTAGTTTTCAATTTTTGATGCAACGACTACAAACCTAGTGACCCTGAACAACGCATATTCATTATTTTACAGTTCTGTAGTTCAGATGTTTAAAACAGATCTCATTGAGCTAACATTAACATATCAGCAGGGCTGCCTTCCTTCTGGAGGCTGTAGAGGAGCATCTATTTCTATGGCTTTTCTAGCTTCTAGAGACTGACCACATTCATTGGCTCATGGCTGCCTTTCAACTTCAAAGCAGACAAGGGCAAATTGAGTCTTTCTCACATGACATCACTCTGACCTATACTCTTCTGCTCCCCAACTTCTACTTTTAAGAGCCTTCATTATTACTTACTTGTTATGTGACCTTGAGAGAATTTCTTGAACTCTGAGCCTCAGTTTCCTCATGTGTATTATTGAAACTGTTTCTAACTCATAGAGCTATTTAGGAGAGTCAAATGAGATGAATT